TTCAGCTCCTCAGTATACCGCCACCGATTGTCAGCTATTTTCCCAGTCCCCGACTTTCCACAGGGAGCCTTGGGTCGTTCACGTGGTCCCTGCCCCACAGCCGGCGTCATGTGCTCGCCCTATGGCTTACTGACACGATGATTTCCCATTCCGGCTGTCGTCTCGTTAGAGAGTGCTTGGTCCCGTTGCTCTACTCTTGTGTGCCTACCTAGGGTGTCTTTTTTTCCCTGACTTGAACGCACCGCTCCCCCCACCATCTATTCTTCTCCCGCTCTACTGAATCAGCTTCTTCTTACCTTGTTACAGCGTACCTTCCTTCCTGCGTCATTCTGCCCCTTAAGCAGATTATGAAGTGGGGAGTGCGAGCGATACCAAAAAGGGACAATGTCGAGTGGACAATGGTGGCATACGGTGTCGGCAGGAGGTGCCCTCCCCTTTTATGAACTGCCCTGTTGAATCTGCGAGCACGATGACATGCGCAAAGCACGCGCAAAGCACGTCATTGGAACGTTTCGTAAGCACTTCAGCAATAAAATGTTCCCCTTGTTCATAAGGTAAAATGCATGAATTTTATGAAGTGTGAAAGTTGTGTCTATATAGCACGCTGAAATTTGTACTTCAATGGTGCACAGCAAGAAAGAAAGAAATAAAGTAAAAAGAAAGAAAAAGAGAGAGAGAGAGAAATGAAATGCCATGTGGCTTTGAACCTATGGCTCAGTAAAACAGTTTTTTGGGGGAGCTGACGGAGGTTGAGCGTTCTAGTGTAAACATTTTTTTTTTTGAACTCCGCACCATGCCATGCTTTTCGACAATCTGTAAACCTGCAATGTTCATGCTGTGTCAAGCATCTTACGGATTTCTTACATTTGTGAGCATGCATCAACACCCCCGCATGTGTGGTTTTTCGTTCCTCCACATCGTTTCAGTTTCTCGGCAATTTCGATGGCACTCCCACTTCGAAATTTCCATGGAAAAAAATTGTTCTCAAGGAATGTAAGATTGAAAACGTCTACGCCGAACCGGTATTTCCCTTTCATTAAGACTTTTGTGAGACATTTTATTTTTCGTTATCGTTTTGTCCTTCATGCAACCTGCTTGATAGAAGGGGGGGGGGGGGGCTTGACGTTTTAATCCGGAGTCAACAGCCACGGTCCTTTTTTTTTTTGCCATGTTGCCTGCGGTAAACCACTTCATTGTGCAAGAGCCTACCGCCTCGCATAACTTTTCTATTTTTTTCACCGCTGCAAGAACAAGCGACAAATGCGCGAAATGAATAGGGAACACACCCGCACTACAAAGCAGAGAATCGGTGAAATAGTTCCACCCAAGCACACGGGGGCTTCTCAACCGGCTACGCGGCCCGTGCATGGGCGTCGACCCGTGCGGCTGACCGCGTCATCGACTCTGCCCTCTCAGGTCCCTCCACTCGTCCTCCCCAGAGCGTCTGACTTCACCTTGTCTCGAGAGAACAACTCCTAACTCAACGAACGAGAACAATAGAAGCGAACGGAACGAAGGCCAACACGTACGCGACTAAGTGTTGGAGGAAAGAACACGACGAAAGAACAAAAGCGCCGCGAGGAGTGACAGAAGGCCGAGCGGAGGGAACAGCTTGGCCGGAAGAAGCCCGGCACGTTTTCCCTATTGACTCCTGTCGCGGGGGCTTCAGGAAAAGAACAGCCGGGATCTCTGTTTTCGCTCTTCGTACAAGTGCTGCCTGCTGCCGAAGGCTTGTCGGTGGGACGCAGCTACGGTAGGCGTGCCGTGGCTCGAGGAATAAGCTGAACAGATAGCCAGCAAGACGCGAACACGATACTCGCTGTTTAGCCTGGGCAGCGGTTGGAGAGGTATAGGAAGAAACTTGGTGTAGTGCGCGGAAACGCGAATATCGCCCACACACAACTCGAGGAGACAACGGATGTGCCTTGCTACTGGGTTTCCTTATTATTATTTTCGGTGACGCTTTCTTAGTTTGCCTCGCGTCGTTGTCGTAATAATAATAATAACGAAATAATAATAATAATAATAATAATAATAATAATAATAATAATAATAATAATAATAATAATAATAATAATCTATTATGGTTGTCGTCACTGAGATCGCGTGACGAGGCGGGTGAGGGATGAATAAAAAATAAAACGATATTATGATTATGATACTTTTCTTCAAATCTCTAAAATTAAATCACGGTCATAATGATCCTGCCGTAAATAAAGATGAAAGGCTTTTTTTTTCTGCCGAAAGTCATTATCATCGTCATCATTACAGCTTCGCTTTCTGGCATTTATCGCGTCGTAGAATTGGGGGGAATTCTTTTGTTTCTTATTTACATCTACGCAACATCGAAATAGACCGCTCTCAGTGGAGCCGTATTCACGCTGTTCTTTCCCGTTATCGCTAACTGTTTTTTTTTTTCCTCCAATTCCTGCGGGTAATTGCGAAGTTCATGTGAAGTTTACAGCTCGCACGTTTCTATTATTATTATTATTATTATTATTATTATATTATTATTATTATTATTATTTAAAATAGTTGTGGGTGACATAATTTCATGGTTACAGAAAGTATTTTTCCCCCTCTCTCTCTTTTAAACATACGATGATTAGGTATCGGCGCCTTTAAGATGGGCAGGCAACATTTTTTCACGTGAAACGCAAGATAATAAAGCAAGGGCACACGGAAATACACGCCCGTGGGTGAGGAAGCACGCAAATACCAAGTCTGGTCAGATAACAACAGTAAAGTGCTCACGAAGGCCTCTGTTACGGCATCGCATTGTGTTACCGAGATACGTAGCCCCATAAAAACAATGAGTATTCATGTTCAAGTCAGTGACGAAACCAGGGGGTGGCGAAACTGGTCCGTTTCCCTCGCCCCCCCCCCCCTGAAATTGTTTTTGATTGATATCTGGGGTTTAACGTCCCAAAACCACCATATTATTACTGAGAGACTTGAAATTGCGTTTTCCCCATGGCATGCAGAGCGAAAAATATCCATCTCAAAAAAGTACCCCCCCCCCCTCCCCTGAAAGAAATTCTGCGTACGCCTTTGTTTCAGGTCAAATTAAGGGCATACTCATGTCCTTTACAAGAAATACAACATTGTTTTCGATTATGGGCCAGGATATCGCTCGCTTACGGAAATGAGTTCGGCGTCACTATTAAGACGACGGCCCCTCATCAAACGCGTAAAGGGGCCGAGGGCGTCGACGCGAGTGATGGAGGGAAATGAAAACGTGTGATGCTGTCACAGTATTACGACACCGTAACCTCACCATGACGTCGCATGACATGACCTATTTGCAGTGTAGGTCCTTCAGTGACAGAATATGTTGTGCAGACACGTTTTTAGAAACAAGCTATGTTAGTTACAACAAAAAATGGCAGTGGCTTAGCTCAGCTATGCCAGGATATACGTAGCGTTAGCAAAGGTTAAGCTGATTAGTCTTAGCTTTCCAGAGTGTCTAGGATTAGCTTGATTATCATGCTTACAGCTGTTCCAATGACACACACACGGTATACGTATTATGTGGCACATGTATATTTATTTTGCCGGGCAACTACTTCACGATCCGATGAGTTAAGCTTCTCCGCTCTACTGCAGCGTTGAGCAGCATTTGCACTCTCCTTCTCCATGGCTATACCACAGTGGCAAACGCCAGTCAAAGGCGCTATCAAGCGGCTCCAGCGCAGTGTCAGATGGCGACTGCACAGGGAAGGCGCGCGCGTCGGCGTCCATATGTCTACCAAGGCTATGACGGCACTCCTCTGGAAAGCGCACACCGGCGGCGGCGAGTCGCGCGCGGCCGCGGCCGAGTGCGAGGGAGGTGCCGGCTCCGGTGCGTGACACCACTGATCGTCTGCGCAGCGCATCGAATTGCGCGCACACCGGTGGCGAGCCGCGCGCCGCGGTGGCGGGGTATCATTGCGCATGCGCAGACCAGTGCCACGCGAAATTGGCTCAGCGAGGCCAGTGTAGCTATCGCTACAAAACGTGTCCATTTACCTCGCGCGCGTTTCTGCAACAACGCTTTGCGGACTCGGTGGCCTGTAGACTGTTGGACACGAAGTTATACACATATATATATTTCCCCCTACCGTGGTTAGAATTAACTTACATAAAGGCGCGTGATGCCGAGCCTCAAATGAAGTTAATTTTGGTCCTTTTGTATCTGTTGAGTTGAGAAGCAGCTCGTAAAGCAAGTACCACCGCTACACTGGCGTGCGTTAGCGCCCGCCCCCCCTCCCCCGGAGAGCAAGTTGTAATTGAATTCGTGAAAGGATTGCTTCGAGACTTATACCGAACGAGCTCCGACCCGTCCATTCCCCCTCATTTTCCTTCGACGCAGCCCTCTTACATCTGTCGTATATTTCACTCGTGACACAATGAGGGAGCAGAAGAGGGTTTCTATTTGAAGGGCCCCCCACTTTTAGGCGGCCGAGAACACATTCCGAGGGTCGCCGCGGGGCACTTTAAGGAAGAGAGCAGAGACGAGCGCGTGCTTGAAACGGTTCTCGCCGGATGTTAGGATTGCTTCGGGAGCGTCCGATGTGAACGGACGTGTTTCGAGCGCGCTCCGACGATATCGACACTTGGCCGGCGCTTCGCTGTCAAGCCATCGCCGCAGCTGTTGCTGCGCTAGCTGCTTGCTCGCTCGTTATCTACCGGCTGCAGCTGATACTGGGAGGCTGCCTTCTGAGCTCGTCGGCGGCACCGCCGCCCGGCTAGCTGCCGGCGGCCATTGCCGCTAGTATCACCCGCCGGGTTTCGAGCTTTCATGGCCTCTCCAGAGTCCTGCGTGCTCCCAGCCGACGTGCCGCTGCCTGAGGATATGGACCTACAGACTTCAGACGACCTGACTGCCTCGGGGACATCGCCGACTTCAACGAACAATTCGGCTGCCGATACCATGCCTTCACGGGTGCTGCTCCTGCCGGACACCAACCCATTCGCCCCACTCCGGGAGCTCGAGGAACAGAATAGCATTGAAGGCAAGTCTGAAAATACTTTTCATCAAGCTCGCATAATTTCTACCGCACCGAACGGAGAGAAACGTGCGCGAGGCTCGCTCATACCGACGCCCGAACGACAGCACACTAGCATACCCAGGGATCACTCCCACATGAGAAGTGCACGTCACACGCTCCTTGCTTCCGCTAGTTACCAAAACGAAGAGGATGGTTGGATACCAGTCAGCTATCGCCGAAAGCAGCAGAACCATGCGGCGGTCGCGGTGACGCCGAGCTCAGGTGCCCCGCGCGCTTATCAGCACACCGTCATTCTTCGGCCTAAGCAACCATGCCGCATCATGGATGAGCAATTCATACGACTAGATAGAGTAATAACTCGCCGCATTTCGGCTCATCTCAACATCCCTGAGGAAGACCCACTTCCAGAGTTCCGGGTTCGCTATTTAGGCTATAGCAACCAGCTCGCAGTCGACGCGGCTGAACCGGAGGTGTGCAACGCCCTTCTCGCGATAGCGTCTCTGCCAATCGGAGGAAAGGAAGTACCTTTTCAAGCATATGAAGCGGTTAATCGCGATCAAATCAGAGGCATCATTCGCAATGCTGGAGACATGACCTCTGAGGAACTAATGAACTCATTACATTGCCGCAAGTGCAAAATCCTGCAGGCACGCCCACTTGGTGACAAAGGCACTGCCATGGTCACATTTGAAGGTAACAGCTTACCCTATAAGGTTGGCCTGCGGTCATTTACGATCCGTGTTTTTCCGTATCGTGCACGAGTGACCGTTTGTGACATATGCCACAAGATAGGGCATCGCAAGGAGCAATGCCCCAATATTTCGGCAGCTAGATGCTCGACATGCGGTCTGCGGCAACACGAAGAGGGTACGCAATGCCCGAACACAGAACAAAAGTGCCGCAGCTGTGGTGGGTCTCACCTGGCCACAGCCACGAACTGTCCAAAAAGACGAGAAGTAAAGAAGAAAATTGAACAAAAACGCAAGCCGGCTGCCAAAAGGCAACGCAAGCAAGTGAATACGCAGGAGCAACAGCGCCGCCCTTCCGCGACACAAGGCCTACAAAGACCCATGCTCAAACCAACACGCCAGGGTTTTTACACCGGGCCGCCAGCACCACCTGCTGCACAGTCAGAAGGCGCCGGGGGCACCACCTTCGCGGATGTAGTTCGACCAGCGAACGTGCCGCTAACTGCTTCTAGTAATGGTATACCACATCCATCAAACTCAACACTGGGGTCCTGTGCGCCGCAGCCCGCCTCGGGTGGAGGGACGAAGCATCCTCGAAGGGGCGTAGCTCAGTCAACGGGGCTTCCGCTTACCAGTGACCATTCACGTCCTCCCGCCCCAACGACTTTCCAAGAACTCGAGCGGCGACTAGAACACCGTATGGCTCAAATAGAGAAATCCATTCATGAAAGAGTTGAACAGCTTATCACTCGGGCCATTGAAAAATGCGTCCAGACCACCATGGAGCGCATCATGCTTTCCGGCATGCTCCCTCTTGGCACAACTTCGACGACAACCGCAGGAGCACTTGTGATGCGTACACCTCTGGTACCGTCAAACTCTATCGCTCCTCATGCAACAAAGCCTTACCATGGCTAGCTTATCAAAATCATCGCCATGGACAACTGTCCTGCAGTGGAATTGCCGTTCGCTTCGTCGCAAGAGGGCTGAAATGACCACTTGGCTCTCCAGCAAGACAGACGATACCAGTCCATTGGTCATTGCCCTTCAAGAAGTCAACGGCCCTGTGCTGAAAATAATGGGCTATGACGGCTACGCCCCGACTGAAGAACAAGATTCATCCACGAAGACAGCATTATACGTGCGACGAGGAACTACGCACGTGCAGCTAGATACGCAACCGTGGTGCAGCACTACTCTTAGTGTTGTCGGTTGCCGGCTGGAAGTCTCACCTCAGCGTACAATTCTTGTCTTCTGCGTTTACGTGGTTCCTGAAAGCACCAGGAACAAAGCCAATAAGGCGCCGGTTGATCTCAGCTTCATACCGCACTTCAGGAAGATTTATCCACAAGATGTCATATTGTTGTGCGGAGACTTCAACTCTCAGCATGTCGCCTGGGGATACAACAAATGCAGCCCGCGTGGCAGGCGCATCATGCAGGACGCCTCGGCGTACGGGCTGACGCTTCTCAATACGCCCCAAACACACACGAGGCTGGGACAGACAGTTCACCAAGCAGACACATCCCCAGACCTTACCTGGAGCACCCGCCCACAGCTATTTCAGTGGGAGGTGCTGGATGATTGCATGGGAAGCGACCACTTCCCCATACTTATACGATTTCGCACAGGTGACGCCATTACGAAGACGAAGTCACGCGCCAGCACACGGCTAAGCCACATCACACACTGGGACAAATATCGCGATTTACTACAGCAACAGCCTCCAGCCAAGAATATTGACCATCTGCTTTCTCAGCTATGCGCAGCGAAACGGCAAGCCACCAAGAACCTACGGGTTCCTTTTGACCACCCAGAACCTGATAGGCATCTTCTCACTCTGTGGAATAGAAGGCTACGTATTCTGGCCCAGTACAGGCGGTCTCGCCACGCTGCGCATCACAAAGCACGGTTGCGCAAAATACAGCGTTCTATTGAGACATATACGACCACGTTAGCGTCAGACCGCTGGATGGCAATTTGTGAAACCATGAATGGGCAGACCCACACGTCAAAGGTCTGGACCATCCTGCGCTCTCTCCTCGGCCAACGCAAGACCTACAATGGCGCGGCTCGTGTGGCCCTCCGGGAGGGCATCAGCACACAGGAGCTCGCCGAACAAGCTGCTGAAGTGTTTTTCCCGCAGACATCTCGCCCCACAGCCAATACGTACCGGAAGGATGCAAGCTCTGAAGACACTGAGCCATTTAATAGCCCTTTCACCATGCTCGAGCTGGAGTATGCCTTGCAACATGCTAACACACGTAGTGCTCCAGGAGCCGATGGAGTATGCGTTGCTCATTTACGCAATATGCCTCTTGAGTACAAACACGCTCTCCTCAAAGAGTTTAATACAGTCTGGGATACCGGAATACTGCCCTCCACATGGAAGTTTTCGGTAGTCAAGCCCATACCGAAGCCTGGTAAACCACCCCATACCTTATCCAACCTCCGCCCGATCTCTTTAACCTCGTGTGTCTGCAAAGTCATGGAGAGCATGGTTAACACACGCTTGATGTGGTACCTTGAAGATCGCGACCTTTTGGCCCCTACAATGTACGGATTCCGCGCGGGCCTATCAACTCAAGATGTACTCCTTCGCCTAAAAGAAGACGTCCTCGACTCTAACTCGGTGCACCCACGGGCTGTTGTAGCAGTGGACATACGCAAAGCATTCGATGGCGTACCACACAGTACCATCATGACGAAAGCACGTGCCCTTGGGATTAAAGGGAAAATGTATAACTTCATAGCGGGCTTCCTCGAAGGGCGAAGCTACCAAGTCGAAATCGGCCAAGACGCCAGTACCGTACGAACCAACCACGTAGGTGTTCCCAGGGCTCGGTGATTTCACCCACCCTCTTTAACATAGCCATGTACCAGCTACCAAGACGCCTTGCGAACGTACCGGGCCTGAAACACGCGGTGTATGCAGATGATGTAACCGTGTGGACGCATCAAGGATCCGTCGGTGAGCAGGAGGATGTCTTACAACGAGCCCTCAACATTATTCACGACTACGCAATGGAAGCAGGTTTACACACCGCTCCAGACAAAACAGAGTTTGTCGTCATTCATGGTGGCCGAACCACGTTTGCCAAGCAGGAAGAAAAGAAGTGTTTTAAACTTCACATTGGCAATCAACCTATAATGAGGAAATCCACTATCCGAATATTAGGAATGCACTTAGACGAGAATTGCACAGCGAGCACTTGGTTCCAACGCGTTACGAAGACTAGCAAACAAATCCTTCATGCTTTACGCAGAATCTCTAATCGCACTCGTGGAGTAAACGAACGCGAAATGCGGCAGTTTGTTCAAGCTTTTCTCGTCTCACGTATCATGTATGGACTGCCGTATCATCCGGTCAACCGTACGCAGATAATCAAACTCGACCGGCTGCTTAACGAGGCCAAACGCATGGTTACCGGACTACCAAGGTACACACGCCTGGATGCGCTCAAGAGCTGCAGCAAGCTCAATAATCTGACCGAACTCATCGACATGCACATCCACACACAGGAAACGAGGCTTCGCGCAACAAATGCCGGGCGATACACGCTTATGCTTCTCGGGTATGACATCAACACACTGCCCATGCTGCCTAACAAAACGCCGCCTTGGGAAATCACGGTACTCACCGACGGCAAGCCACTTCCGTTGAATATGGACCCTAATCAGCGAGCACGGCGCCTTAACTACGCCAAGAGACATGCTAGGGCCACGAGTTCACTCCCCATGACTGAACGCGTCGTATACACTGACGCTGCACTTCCTGCAGACGGTACCAGTAACACTTGTTATGCCACTGCGTGGTACGACCAGACAAACAGAAATCAGAGCCGACGTTATCATGCTTCAGCAGATGCGATGTATAGCACTCGAGCAGAGCTAGTGGGCATCTTAGACTATTTGGAGTGGGCCCTCGAAATGTCACCTCAAACTGACCCTGTTCACCATCGTGTGTACACTGATTCCCAGGCTGCCCATCGGGCATGCGCTAATGTTCTTTACACAGATCCTGTACTCCAGAAGATCCGACACCAGACGCGCCTGCTCCGCGAATGTGGTCATGACGTTACCATCCACTGGGTCCCCGGGCATTGCGGTATCCCCGGAAACGAGAAGGCTCACAGATTAGCGCGCGCTCATCTCCTCACCGCGCTAGCCAGAGCTTCCGATACTCCTTCCACTTTTCTGGCTACCCCACCCGAGCTAGCAGATCCGATAGCAGATAAGCACATTACCAAACAACGTCGCGCCGCCTACCTCACAGCAGTGGGTAATCCACTCTCGATACCATTGCTTCCTTCGAAGGTATTCACACGGAGAGAGTCTGTCCTGCTTCGGAGAATTCAGGCAGGAACACTCCTTACCCCTTTCTTGCTGAACCGTTTCCACAGGGGTGACACGCCACCACCCGTGACAGGTCTCTGCTCCACGTGCAACTGCCGGGCTGATCTCAACCACTTGTGCTGGGAGTGCCCTGTGTACAACCCGCCTAGGCTCCGTGCCCTGGCCACCATAAAACGGGGACCCTGGCCTTCTTCTCTCCGGACATGGGCCTGCCCGGAGCCTTCGCCCCCTGATCGCGCCATCGAGTTCTGGCGAGCACTCATCATGTTCCTCCAGGACCCGGCCGCGCCACCGGTTGGCGACCGGCTCCGCGACAGCCACAAGATTCAAGCCATTCAAGCGGCCCCCACTTAGCTGCCTCCATGACGTCCGGTAATAAAACGGAGGCAGCTCTACCCCCCCCCCCTGCTATAGTGCCCTGACTGTCCACCGCAGCGCCTTCGGCGCGAACAAAGTGGAATAAACATGGTTTCATTCATTCATTCGCCGGATGTTATTGCCTTCGTATTAGCCGCAGTAAGTCAAAACTTCGGTCTCCTTCTTTCAAAGCGGAGAGTTAGCGAAACTCTTAGAATTTATTATTATTTTAAAAGAAGATGTCTGGTTCGTAATGTTGCGATGATTAAACCGCGGTGCCTTTTTGGCCGCGGAAACGCGAGAATCTGTGTGGGGATGTTTGCGCTTAAATTAACGACAGTAGCGGGGATTTTAATTTGCCTGCTTTCAGCCTGCGCTTCCTGGCGCTGGTCTTGCGCTGGCGTGCTAGTTCATCTCAGCCGGCGTGTAATTGCGAGTTGTCATTAGTAGTTGAAGGCACGTCGTTAGTCTTAGGGCCAAACCTCATAAGCGCGAAAATGCACGCGACAGCGACGAGCGACGCGACGTAGATCGTCTTCGCGCGATCAGTCGCTAGCGCAGGCAAACCTCATTCACGCGACGGCTTCGGCAAGCGAACTCCACTGTTGCTGGCATGAGGCCGTCTACTCGCACCAAGAAAACCGCGTAGCGAGCGGTTTCCAATTTAAAAATAAGATATATTGTTGTGTAATGGAACGGAAAGTGTTTATTATTGCCTTGCAGCATTTTTTATATGCGCATGCGTAATAAACATTGCGTTATTTCTTGTTGCGCATACGTGACTCGGGCAGGGTCACGTGCACCTATGTAGTGTTTGTCTTTTCCGGTTTTTCGTTATTGGCTGCTTGAGCCTAGTACTTCCGGGCGATGAGCGACGGTTTCCAAATCTGGAGAACCGAGAGATCGCGCGAAAACGAGCACGCGAACGCCCTGTTTCGTCGCTCATAGCATCGCTCGTCGCTGTTGCGTGCATTTTCGCGCTTATGAGGTTTGCTCTTTAATGTCCATTGTGTTCTCGTTGGCCCATTCATTCTCGTATACACTGAAGAGTATATAACTGGCGGGAGCTGCAAGTGCTGTGTGTGATTGTGTGTTTATACGCGTGCGCAAGTATGTGTATTCTGAGAATAGAAGAATAAAAGTATCGCTCTCATTCTGCGAACTGGACTCAAGAAAACGGGAATACGGGGAAAAGGAAAACGGGAATATTCGGGACGTTTCTAAATGCGAAATGCGTTTCCAAATGCGTCGTTCTAAATGTCACCCTTGGAGTATCTATCTATCTATCTATCTATCTATCTATCTATCTATCTATCTATCTATCTATCTATCTATCTATCTATCTATCTATCTAATCTATCTATCTATCTATCTATCTATCTATCTAATCATCCGCCTACGTCTGGGTGTTCTCGTGATCACCCCCTAAACCTATTTATGGTTAACCAAAATGAGCATGAGAGGGCAAGATGGTTTGACGAATATGACTCGCTGGTAATGACATGAATAAGGTCATAATGCTGTGGCATGCGTCATGAAACCCTTTCCGCCAGACAGGTGGCACGTACCCGCGGGTTGTTATGTGCCACAGGTATGCGGGTATGTTCCACAGGTGATTGACAGTTTATATCTACCCAGGAACGGCGAGAACAGACATGGGTAATCTTAACTCAATAGCGTTAAGAAAAGGCCGACGTCGGCAGCGTTGTCCCGATAAATTTAAAGAATAAATGTGAAGGTCCCAGCCGGAATCGAACCCCATCATTCTCCGTGGCAATTAAGTAGGGCCACGACAGGGTTTGGAACTACTTTTCAAATATTCCTTAATGTTTGTGAAACGTCAATTGTGGATATAGTGCTGGCTATTCAATTTTATAATATTTATGACACAGTCGTCACGTCGGGTTAGCGTTAAAGGTAGTTAGGGACCATGCGCTGAAGTTGATCTATGTCGCAGTGTGCAGGGCTGCCATACTCGCGAGCACCAGTTTTTCATATCGGCTTGCCGCTTCTGGTGTATACCTAATACTCATGCTGTTGTTACTATCGTTACGCAACAGTTAACAAGTGGTTACTATATAAAACATGCGCGGCTGTTTAGCGTATTTCTGTGCTTGGCTGTGCGCATTTGTACATATCTTCAGCCACTTCTTATAGTTTTCGCATATTTTTCACCACTTCGAAACGTTTCACTCAATAAAATAATTACAATACAGTCTCCTTCTATCCGCATGCTTCGCATAACATCGATTTCCAAGTTTGTGGGATCTTCCGAACTTTTATGCCACACCGCAATAATCGTCGTATAGCCTGCCTGTGTTTCTTTTCTTTATTTAATCATTTTAGTATCGTCAATCATTAAATCACAGCCGTGTAACAAAAGGAGTTCAATAGCCGAGGTGCTTGTTACGTCAACCCTGTGCAGAAGCGTCCATATCTCGAAGCAATACGAAGTAAACGCTAACAAAATTTGTATGTGTTTATAAAGTGTGTACAAGTTTCTCATCTATAAATTGCCATTCTTTAACGCTGGTTTCATTAGCTTGGTATGCAATCGCTACCGTATTCTGCCCAGGTGTTGCTGCTGCAGCGCCGTTTGAAAGAGTTTTAGGGGCGAAGCTCCTCTTAGTCTAACCTTGTCACTGGTCACGCGTAATCGAGAGAAGAGACGATAAAGAAAAAAAAGGCAAAACAAATGGATGACCATTTCTCCTCTAACTTCCTAGGTGGTGTTACTCTGCCGCTACTCTCCGAAGTGCCGCTGCTCTCCGATTGGCTGCTGCGCGCGCTTTGTCTGAGTTCGCGGATAACGAGTGTCTCTCTCAGTCTCCTGGATAGTCGCCGTACGTGGCGGAACGTTGTAGGGGCATGGACGAAGCAGAGCGGCGGGCGCGTTGAAGACGCTTGCACTCGGCTTCCTTGGCTCGCGTCTCGTCGATGTTACTCGCGCACCGTCTACATTCTCGAACGCGACCGGACGCATGGACGCATGCACGGGTGGATGGATGGACGGACGCTTCGCCCCACTCATCATCATTCACTCCGGGAATATGTTGTGATATTTTTTTTCGCAGGGGAGCATTGGCGTGCGTCCAGAATACTAACTACTACGCTTTACAGCGGATACACTAATCAACACGAGCCGAAATCGAAGTGACTTGGCCAACTTGAGTTGACCAATATTCAGCCGTAGCCGAAGTCTTCAACAAGTGGATCTTTTCTTCTTTTTTCTTTTCAAAATAATTGCTCTTCCAGTTTTATATTTTTCATCGGTTGTAGTTGTTGATGATAACTACTATTTCCTCACTAACCTCACTAGTCGGTATTTTTCATTTTCATTTTTTTTCTCAAATAAAACCGGAAGCTGGTTCTGAAACATCAGCGCAATTCCCGCGTTGAGCTTCGCCAACACCCCCTCCTCCCACGCTGCTCAAGAAAAAACGACAAAAGAAAGAGAAAGGAAAAAAGAATAGCAAAGACACAGGTATGAAGTATTAGAAGGTGAGGATCGTGAAGATGTTGCAGTTTAGTATTTCCAACAATACAGAACATCTGCACTGGTGCTGTCGCGTAAGTTTTACCGTTCCTTTTCCTTTCTTTTTTCATTTACTTCCAGGTCGCATGTCACCTTCATTTGTATATAAGTATTTACAGTTTCTGTCTTTGTTTCTTCCTTCGTTTGCATTCTTTACATCTCTCTATGCGGTCCCCACCGGGGCGACCTCTTCCACCGAGCGTATCTTGTAATTTCTCACTCCTCTGAGACTCTGTCCCTTTCACGGGCTAGCTAAAGATTCGTTCTATACCGTCTCCCATCTGTCCTCGCGAGAGATAAGGGAGCGCTCGCGCTCTCTTTCTGAAGAACGCGAACGTGCTCGAGTGGTTCAGCACGGTGGTGGCAGTGGCTGCTCAGCGGGGAGCGCTTGCAATCATGTGTTTTCGCTCGCATGGACTCTCTGCCTGTCTTTATATTCTGGTGGAGGACGAGCTGTGTTCTACTGTGCGGTTAAATAAACGAAGCGTTTCTCTCTCTCTCACTCACTCACACTCACTCACACACTCTCTCACTCACTCACTCACACACACTCACTCACTCACTCACTCACTCACTCACTCACTCACTCACACACACACACACACACACACACACACACACACACACACACACACACACACACACACACACACACACTTTTTTCTCCCTCCGCTTCTTTGTCTCTCTTTCTCGCTCTCGCTAGCGCGCGCTCTGTATATCTACAAGCGTTTTACCACCCGGACTCGCAATTCCCAAGCTTTTTCATTTTTCCTAAGCAGGCGTTCCGTGCAAGTGACTATGAAAGAGAATGCTTCTAGTGACTAGTTTTACTTTTACACCGGCGTCTCTTTAAGAATGTGTTTAGCTGGGAGGGAGAGGGGGGGGAAGAAGGGAGTGGATCGCATCGTGCGTAGCTCCTCCCTGCCGAGCGTCGTGTTGAAAGGTGTTCGCTTACGGTGACACCAGGCGCTCTTTTTCGTCGCAAAATCGTTCCTTTCAACTGCCGCACCTGCAATTAAGGTCTGAAGGGGGCGGGGGGGGGGGGGCACTTCTGCGTGTGCGCGTTCGTTACGGTGAGCTGCAGAGTACGGACACTCTGCTTTACCCCGCCCTTTGACTGGAGGGTGTAGCGACAACTAAACTTTAATAAACGCCAGTTTGTATCAGAAAAACGGCGCGCAGACCGCTCTTGTTTTTTTTTATGTTTCTTTATGAATACCTCTTTTTCGTGCGTGGTTCAGTGCGAACCGAGCTTGAGCTGAATACGTCGATCAGCTTGAAAGGCTTCTTTCGTGGATCGGCGATTCGGCTGAATGAGGGTCGTTAGGAAGCGGTCGACGAGGGGACGATGTCTCGAGCCCTCGCTGTTGGTTGCCGAAACTACGGGCATTCACTCAAGCCTACCCGCGTCGAAACCGTGTAGAGCGTATAGTGTGATAGCGTATGCTTAGTTAAAGCGAGCTGGCCTATCCAGAATTCGCGTCGGCATACATGCATTCAGAAGTTGTGTCACCCACACCTGGGTCTGAGTTCAGGTGGTCGTTGGAGTCTCGTGTAAAACGTTGAAGTTGTGT